AAACTGTTTTTTTCCCACAAACAGGAAAGTCTGGCTGCATTTAGTATCTTTTTTTATAATGAAACATAAATGCTGCACATAAATATTTATGTTTTTGACTCAGCTCTAGTCTTAAAAACTACCATGATTAAATTATAAACTATATATAGCATATTTTAAAATATGTGGCCCCCTTAGCTTCAATGTAGTAGCTGCTTTTTGTTTGTAGCATGTAGCATAGATAACCGTAGATATAGATAGTAGCTTGACTGTAGTTTATCTTTAAATTATTAACAGGCCCAGATTGTGTTACACCAGTCTGTCTGAAATACTGTGCTGACCAGCTGGCCCCCATCTTCACACAGATCTTCAACAGATCACTGGAGCTGTGCGAAGTCCCGCTTGTAGCTTTACAAGCTATAAAGTAGCTTTCCCAACACTGCCTCGAAGCTTACTGCAATCTTTTAAAGCGGTTGCAATTTTATTAATTATGCACCCTAACTGTCAATTGTTGTGGTGTTAATTGTAATTGTTCACGCTGGCAACTTGAGATATTTTGTGGATAACACATTGCTCAGTAGAGTTATATCACATTTCTTTCTGCGGGCAGTGGATAAATCCTGGAGTAGGTCACAAATTCCCAGTCTGCACTGCTACTGTTCCTGTTTCTTTCTCTTGTTTACTTTTTTGCAATTAAGGGAGATCCCAGCCTCCAGATCTACTAAGCCCATTGTTTCTTCCTTCCATTGCTCAATAGTCATTCTTCACAGACAGAGATGCCAGGATTAAGTATTATAAACAGGCAATATAACAATGCTTTGCACCAAGCTGTTCCACACAGATATAAGCGATCCATTCTGTATGATGTCACCAGTCTCTCATTGTGTCTGAAAAACTGAATCCTACAGTGCCGAGAGCAAGGGAGTGAGATGAGTTTCTCCAATAAAATTGTTGAAATCAGGTTGATCTGTCCATTAGGCATTGAAAAGCCTTTGTGGTAATACAACAGCTTGGTCAGAGGGCAGTTAAATCGTTATGACGGAAAATGGATTTTAACTATTCTTAAAGGCTGGTTCACACAGATTCCAACAAATGGCAAACCGAGACAATGCCAGGGCTCAACAATAAAGATAGCCTTCTGGCCGGTGTGGTAAAGTTTCGGCACAGCTGATGAAAGTGCAAAAAAAAAATAAAAATTAAAAAAAGCTGGATTGTGTTCATCGAAATGAGCAGTCTAACATTTGCTAATCACTGCATCTTTGGCTGCATTTTTTTTTTATCAAGTTTTTGTTTTGAATGGCCTCATTCTTGAAAATTCACCTGAATGAATGTGTAAGTTGTTAATTCCGTTCTGATGTAAATTTTTTTGGTTCATGAAAGTGTTTTTTTAAATGTTAGTAGGTTTTACACCTGCTTCCAAGCACATGTAAATTGTGCTTGAAACATACAAACGTTCTGTATTATTTTAAGCAAACTGAATTTAGTTAAAATTGTGTGCAAAAATATTTAAACTGTCACATCCTACTTGCACAACTACTGAACAAAAAAGGAGAGGTTAATATTGCCTGTGTGACTGCATTTGTATTGTCAGTAATTGTTGATAGAACAAACTATATGCAAAACCAGATGCTGGTGTAATATATTAAGCTGTGGATAATCCATATCAGCATCTCGGCTGAAAAACGCTGCACCACCAAAGCGCTGTTACATAGTTTGCATAGACCAGGGGGAACGTTGATCCTTGATCCATTCTTATATTTTCATGAAACTTTCAAGAATGAGGGCAAATGTGTGCAGTGACTGAAGAAAACATTGCTGATTACTCTGATTCACTGATTTATATTTGAATGTTATTTTAGATGTATGATGATGATAATATTCTTTTACTTGCAGATCTTACTAGATGATGAGACATGCAATGGAAGTGTAAGTATTGTTTTTTTTCCTGTGAAAAGAGATCTCTCCTCTTGAAGCATTATCGCATAAAACATGGAAGCTACTCTCGAACATGTCCAATTCCATGCCTTCACACAGACTGTTTGTGTTCATTCAAGTCTTTTAATGCGTTGAAGGTACATTTGACACGAAATCATTCCCAACATGTGAATGCACAACAAACAAGTGGATCAAAAGAATCTCCTTTAATATTTCACTGTTCACTCTGTGAATTTAAGGAACCTTGTTCAGAATCTGAGTTCTTCACCCACTTGCGTCATCATCTAAAAAAGAATGAAAAGGTTCAGTGTCCGTACAATGAGTGCAATTTTGAGAGCCGAGTTTATTCAACATTTAATGCTCACAAATGTAAAGAACACCAATTAAGTAGTCAGAGGGAATTAAAACCCACCATTGCAGTTGAAACTCAAAATGTAGCTGCAGATTTGCCTCAAGATGTTAGACAAAATACAGTGTCTCACCATGAGTCGGTGGATTCTACTGAATTTGACCAAGATGAACATGAAGAAGAGGACCAGACTCAAAACCTGGATGTTTTACAGAATCAGCTAGAATGTAATATAGGCTTGCTCTTTCTTAAGATGCAGACCATTTTGCATATCTCTGATGCAGCAGTACAAGAAGTAGTTCAACAAATGAATCAGATCTTTCTCCTCTCAAAGCCCCTTTTGTGTAATGCCATACGACAGATTCTAGATAAACATGGGGTCAGTTACAGTGATTCTGCTTTAAAAGAGATTGTGAAAGCTGTCACAGAGAATAATCTGATCTTGAAAATGACCGATTCTGGTGAGTCACTCTCAACAGTGAGTAAGAGAGCATCATATTTTCAAAACGAATTTCCAGTTGTAATGCCGATAGAATATAAACTTTGGAAAGACTCTCAATCATTTGCTTATGTGCCAATTCTGAATATGTTACAGGTGCTTTTAAACCGAACTGATGTTCTTGAGAAAGTTCTTTCTCCTGTTGGCAATGCAGATGGGATTAGCTCTTACATAGACAGCACTAACTATCGTGAGAATGATTTTTTGATGACAGAGAAATTCCGGATTTTGCTTACCCTATACACTGATGAATTTGAGATTGCCAATCCGCTTGGCACCTCAAAAAAGAAACACAAGATATTCAGTGTGTATTGGGTTCTTGCTAATCTTCCATCTAAACACAGGTCTTCACTTCAGGCAATTCAGCTAGCACTCTTATGCAAAACTAGTGCTGTAAAACAATATGGGTACAAGAGAGTCCTTCACCCTCTTGTGCAAGACCTCAAAACTCTGGAGAGACATGGTGTCTATGTGGAGCAGTTAGGAGAATGTGTAAAGGGAACAGTTCTCAATGTTGCTGCTGATAATCTTGGTGCTCATTCCTTGGCAGGATTTCAAGAGAGCTTCGTTGTGGAACACCCTTGCCGCTTTTGCATGGTGAAAAGGAGTGAAATTCAACAGAAAGACGTACTGTCAGGAGGATTTGAACCCAGGACAAAGCAGAATCATGACAGGCAAGTTGAAGAAGTTTTAAAAGACCCAAATTTGACGAAACAGTATGGTGTAAAAGGCAGATGTGTTTTAAATAAGCTTGACCATTTTCACTCTGTCACTGGTTTTCCACCTGACATCCTGCATGATCTCTTGGAGGGTGTCATACCCGTTGAAATGGCACTCTGCCTCAATGCTTTAATTAACAAAAAGTACATCACCCTTGAGTATGTGAACAGGATGATCAAACAGTTTCCATACCAATTCATGGACAAGATCGATCAACCTCAGGTCATTCCAACTACGTTTGCCTCTAGAGGCACGATTGGTGGAAATGGCCATGAAAACTGGGCACTTTTAAGACTTCTCCCACTAATGATTGGCTTTGACATCCCAGAAAATGATGCAATATGGGAGATACTAATGCTTTTGAAAGACATACTAGAACTGGCGACATCCTTCAGATTCACTGATGACACTATTGATTTTCTTGCGGCTAAAATTTCAGAGCACAGATGTTTGCTTTCGAAAGTATTCCCTGATTTTGTGCTTCGTCCTAAACACCACTACATTGAACATTATTCACAACTAATTAGGACATATGGGCCACTTAGAGATGTTTGGACCATGCGTTTTGAAGGCAAGCACAAGTTCTTCAAACAAATCATTCGTGAGACGAAAAAATTTCAAAAACGTCACACAAACTCTGTCAGTCCGACACCAAAGAATGGTGGCGTACCATGTGGACTCGTCATCCTTTTTTAAACCTTCTGTCCAGATGGACAAAGTGACGTCTACGCTGATTTAATCTTTTCCTGAGAGTGTTCAGAACATGCTTCAGCAGAATTTTCCTACCCAAAGCACTGTACTTGTCACATCTTCAGTGTGCATTGATGGCATCAAGTACAGTCCTGATATGTTTCTGTCTGCTGGTGCAAATTCATGTCTGCCTGATTTTAGGCAAATTGTAAAAACTGTCATCATCAACACCAATATTTTGTTTGTATGCAAAAAACAGACATCGTGGTACATTGAGCATCTGCGTTCCTACGAATTGTGCAGTCATGTACCAGACATGACTGTCACAAAGCTCTCTGATTTGAATGACATTTTTCCACTGGCATCCTACAAAATTCGGGGCAGGACTTTTGTTACAGCTAAACATTTCATCTTGTGTTAAATTAAGCTTTTAAAAGGATAGTCATTCTAAAAATGAAAATAGTCCTCATTTATTCATCCGTTTCTTTCTTTCTTTTTTAACCCTGTATGACTTTATTCTTCTGAACACAAAATAAGGTATTTTTAAGAATGTTGGTAAACACATAGTTTCAGTTCCTATTGACTTTCATCAGGAACCCAAAGTTGTTTGATTAGCAATGTTCTTAAAAATATATTTTATGTTCAGCAGAATAAAGTTATACAGGTTTAAAAAATATGAGGGTAATAATTTTTTTCCCTTTTTCCTTTAATTTCATTTGATTTCATTAATTTCTCATTTTTAGGTTCACAGGACACAATGGAGACAAAAACTATACTTAGAGTGATAGTGAATGAAAACGACATAAGGAAAATCACGCTGCATAGGAAACCACAAACTTTGACTTCATTGATGGAACAGCTTGAGGAAAAGCTAGGTCTTCCTTACAAGTTTTATCTTCAGTATGAAGATGCTGATTTTAACAATGCACTGATTAACCTAACAGACATTGCAGATTTACCTGAAAGGCCCACCTTAAAGGTGATTACTCTTGCAGCATCTCCTACAGCATCTCCTACACCAAGTACAGCTGACACAGATATTGTGTCTTTGACCTCAGAAGAAGGTTCATCTAATGTACGCCAAGCTCAGTGGCCAGAGACCTTTGAAATCCCAAATTTTCCTGTAGACATTGAGTACAGATTGCGCCAAGGAAATCTTCTCTTCATGAAAGACCAGACATATATGCACGTTCCTAGGGACATGAAGCATGAAATTCTTGAAAAACTTGCTGAGTCTATGTACAACTTCAAAGCATATCCCTCTGATGACGATTTCAATGATGTTGCATCTGCACTGGTAAAAAAACATCCATGCCTTACTGAACCAGGTTCCTCTACTGGATGGAACGGTTGGAAGAACAGCCTCAAATTTAAAATGGGGAACTACAGAACGAAGCTACGCCGAGCTGGATGCACAGATGTTCTTATAAATGCAGGAAAAAGGGGAGGCCAAGATCCTGTGAGAGGTGTTAAAAGGCCTAAACGATTTGAAATCAATTTTCTTCCCAATTGTCCTGCTGGTGAGGATGACTGCAGCATGGAATCTAAACGCTTACAACTTGTGGAGGAAATGAATAAAAGTCATCCAAGTTCCACCTTGATATCACAGCACATGGATTCCACTTTCTCCTTGAGAAGAAAAGAGATCGTAGAGAAGGAACCTCCAGTAACAGAGACTCTCCAAAGATGGCCATCACTTTTCACAGAAAGGCAGGTAAGTTATAATTAAATTACATCATGATAACACAAAATATAAAGAACAATTCATTTATTTACCATCATGCCATGCCAGATGTGTATTGCTTTTTTCCCACCAACATTTAAAAAAAAAAAAGTTTTTAGAAAACTAGTCCATCTCAGTCCATTTATTGCAAGTGAAGAGGTGCTACAATGTGAAAGCTCAAAAGCACAAACTGATATTGTTACATTAATCCATACAACTCTATATAAACTCAGGGATGGGTTATTTTTATATTATAAATTTACTCATTTGGATTCATCTGAAAGTAGTCATGTGAATCTAGGACAGCATGAGTGTGAGTAAATTAAACAATTTGCAAGTATCCCTTTAAAAGAGTAACAAAAAGCCTAATAGACTTTTCTGTTTCCTTTTACAGATCAATTCAGAGTTTAATCGAATTGCAAGCAAAAACCTCAAGCAAGATTTTTTCTCTGCACTCGATCAACATGCTTCACGATTTCTGGACATTTTTGAGAGCAAGAAAGGGGCTGTTGGAAAAAGACTCTCTGAATTTCTTCAGCAAATCAAACCTGTGGTAAGCTTATCAATGCTTCTTTCTTAAACTAAATTATGTTACTGTCGTATTAACTAATTTCATATTTAATTTTATATTATACATACACTGTAAAATGTAAGTGTATCTTCTTTTTTTTTCCAGAGCACTGACATCATTGCAAAGCGCACAGCAGTTCTTCGTGGCCTTCCACTCATTCTTGGAGAAGAAGCCTCTGACTTTTTTACAACAGCACTGGTAAGTACCTTTACTATAACCCCACACAAACATCACATATAGGCATTCAATTATGCTTTAGTCAACTCCTTAATTTGGACCAGATAAGTAAATTCTGCTTTTGTTTCACTTTTCTTAATCAAGCCCTTGTACTGTTCATTTTGTCAAATTTCTAAAATGTGTTTTGATTAGTTGTATGTAGAACATGGCCCAAGAGATGGTCCTGATTCTTTAGGTGACATATACTTTTGTGAGATTTCCCATTTATAATGTAACAAGACTTGTAATATTGCTGTTCCTTTTTTCTTTTTATTAGGACTGTGAATGTGACACACCCCAGATTTCCATCGGGATACTGACTGTGATACCAGAAGATAGCCAGGATTCCCCACAAGCACTGCATTTGGAGGCTTCGAACACTGCAATCATCTTGGAAGGAGTCATCGTCAATCTTCCAGATGCCATGTGTCTACTTTTTGGGCTGATATATGCGCTGAATTTGGAGTACCCTCCACAGCTCAAGAACACCTTTGATTTTATTCAGAGAGTGTTTCTTTCTCTTGGACACAAATCTCTGAAACCAAAAGTACAGTCACTTAAAAACCTGCTGCTGATGTAAGTTGAGGCTGTTTGAGATGGTTTTAAAGGGATAGTTGAATCCCTTTAATCTTCTGGTTGCACAGAAGGTTTGTTTAATTAAACTTTTCAACTGTTACCTGTCAAAATTTGTTGAAAATATTTTTAAACGTTAAAGAATGTTTAAAAAATATTCTTAAAAGTTTTAGAGCAGTGTTATTGCTAAACGTATTTTTTTTTTATTGTAAGCATTGTTAAGACTTAAGCTAGTGTTGATTATTTTAAAAGGTCACCTGTTCAGTTTCAGGTCAAAGATTGTCAAGCAGTCAGGATCCTTTTTTTTAGCTGCACTTGCACTGCACTTTTAAGTTGCTTTAGGAGATTAACATGAGTAACGATGTGTTTTTTGTTTGTCAAAAATGGTTAATGCTACATTCAAAAAACTGTTTATAGAGTTGGGTGATCTGACTTTGTTTGGTACGCTGTAGTACCTGAAGAGATTTAATATATAATAAACAATGTTAAACTCAAGTTCAGTTGTTGCTTTTTGTCTTAACTTATTATTTTTAGTTTAGCTTACTTGGAATTTTTAAGGCAATCGGTTTCCTAATATTTTCCTAGTAATGTGAACACTAATAGAAAGTTAACTCAAATAATGATTTTAAGTCAACAGTACTTAAGTATACTTGATTAACAAGTTGTCTCTACAAATTGTGTTAAGTTATGCCAACTAAACATTAATACTCTACTTTACTTAAAATTTTAAGGCAATCGGTTTCCTCACTTTTTCTAAGTAAAGTCAACTTATTACATTTTACAGTAAACTTTTCAACTGTTACCTGTCAAAATTTGTTGAAAATATTTTTAAACGTTAAAGAATGTTTAAAAAATGTTCTTAAAAGTTTTAGAGCAGTGTTATTGCTAAACTTATTTTTTATTTTTTTTGTAAGCATTGGTAAGACTTAAGCTAGTGTTGATTATTTTTAAAGGTCACCTGTTCAGTTTCAGGTCAAAGATTGTCAAGCAGTCAGGATCCTTTTTTTAGCTGCACTTGCACTGCACTTTTAAGTTGCTTTAGGAGATTAACATGAGTAACGATGTGTTTTTTGTTTGTCAAAAATTGTTAATGCTACATTCAAAAAACTGTTTATAGAGTTGGGTCATCTGACTTTGTTTGGTACGCTGTAGTACCTGAAGAGATTTAATATATAATAAACAATGTTAAACTCGAGTTCAGTTGTTGCTTTTTGTCTTAACTTATTATTTTTAGTTGAGCTTACTTGGAATTTTTAAGGCAATCGGTTTCCTAATATTTTCCTAGTAATGTGAACACTAATAGAAAGTTAACTCAAATAATGATTTTAAACAGTACTTAAGTATACTTGATTAACAAGTTGTCTCTACAAATTGTGTTAAGTTATGCCAACTAAACATTAATACTCTACTTTACTTGGAAATTTTAAGGCAATCGGTTTCCTCACTTTTTCTAAGTAAAGTCAACTTATTACATTTTACAGTGCAGTATATTAAAATGTAATTAGCTATTTTTAAAATGAGATATTTGTCATAATGGGCATTATTAAATTGAATAAAGGTGTTACCTGTGTTAAAAAATTAACCATTATGATGTCATTGATGCTCATAATCAAAGCTTAAACATGTTCACTTGTGAAAGTTCTGATTAATCGGGCTTTTTCATCCTGTTTTAGGCAGGCACATTGGTTTCTATGGATTTGGCAGGGATGCGTATACCTCATCGTCTTGGCAACAGTTTGCGATGAAGTCAGATTAGGTCAGGGTTTGATAGAAAATCATACCAGACTGATCAAACATTCTAAGACAAGACAAATGCTGATTGCACATGGTCATTCTGAGAAAACAAACACCAACCAACATCAACAGGGTTAACACACTGATCCAACAAAACCCCACAACCACTCAATGTATTCAACATTTGTAGCACATTTTTTATTCTTCAGTATGAAAACACATTTTTAGATGTACTCTATCATTCAACATTTTGAAGTTAGTAAGATATATTGTTTAATATTTATTATTAATATTTTGAAATATTATAACAATTCAAAATACAGGTTTTACGGAGCCCCTAAATGGACATGGTGGTGGTAAATAAAATGTAATGAGAGGAAAAATGATGCTTTTGTGTTTACCCAAGAAAGTCAAATCAAGTCACCTTTATTTATACAGCGCTTTATACAATAAAGATTGTGTCAAAGCAGCTTTACAGTGTTAAACAGGAAAAATGTGTGCTGATAATGCAAGAGGATAATAGAAAACAGTCAGTTTTTCAGTTAAAGTTCAATGTTGATTCAGTAATGTCATCGTCCAGCTCAGTTCAGTTCTTTTCCAATAGTGTCTGTGCAGTCAAGTCAACAATTTTGCCAGAAACTTTGTGTTCGCTTGGGAAAATTTTGTGATGGGAATAATACAATGTGGGAGGAAAATCTATATTTCAGTGATTTTGCAAACGAATGCAACGGGGAAATGCAACACTTTTTTGAGAGAACACAAAAAAAAAAATTCCCATATGTCATATTTTTTTTCCATCGTCATGTCCCCTTAGGGTCCCATGGGGTGTCAAATTCAATTCCTGGAGGGCCAGAACCCTGCAGAGTTTAGATTCAACCCTAATTAAACACACCTTATCCAACTAATCAAGTCCTTCAGGTTTATTTGACTACACAGTATGTGTGTTGGAGCAGGATTGGAACAAAACTCTGCAGGGCTCCGGCCCTCCAGGAATTGATTTTGACACCCCTGCCTTAGGGGCTCTGTAGTTTATAGTGTTATGTTTGATTTAATGCTTGCTTTTCGAATGAAAGTATTAATTTATTTCAAAATAAAATCTTGTTGACCCCAAACATTCGAATGGTAGTTTATGTAATGTATTTCTAAAAGAAAAAAGAGTATAGCCATTTCAGAAATGAAGACAGCAAATAGATTTGCTTGCAGCTGCTGATCTAAAGTCCACTTTCTTGCTAGTAATTAAGGTTTGAATTTGTCATGTAGAAATAATGTGGATTTGTCTATGTCTAGCATTTAGCACACAGGCGTTGACACATTGTGTAGTGGTGCTCATGAGGGCAGCCCAAGTTTAATTCCTGGCTTATTTCCTGATCCTGCTCCTCTCTTTCTCTTCCCATCATTTGCTTTCCTGAATAAGACGTGGCAGAAGGCCCAAAATAAAATTACAATTTGGATTTTAACCTCATTCATGCGATTAATTTGAGCCTTAGTCTAGGAGGAGAGTGGCCACTTCTGAACGGTTACAGATACACACTAGCAAGCTCACGAAATTTCCGCTAATCCCCAACAGAGACCTCAGAAACAATGAGAATAAAGGCAGCTTTGTTTTGAACACAATTTGTTTCCATTAATTGGCCGCTCATCTCCTGCCGCTCCCTCCCTGCTAATCCCCAATCCTTCGTCTTAATGAGTTAGATGTGTGACAATTAGACAGACGTGTGGATCTGAGGCAAGAGAGTAAAAAATGTCCGCAGCATTCAGAGCAGTACAATGGAAGCGTGCTGTTAGTGCCATTAGCATTGTTTCAGACGCAGCGAGAGCTGCATGCTAAGAGAACATCTCCAGCATAGTGGTGGCCATCACTGAAAGGGTTGATCGATCTCTTTGAGCATCCGTTGCCTATAAACACTGGGCACCCACAATGCGTCTGGCCTCTCCGTCAATAAAGAGCTCCGTGAATATATAACAGGCCTTTTGATGGTATATGGCTCAAAAATAGAGAGAATGTTAAAAACTGCATTCATGGGAATCTCAGAGGTGACAGTGCTCATCACATATGCCCAAAGCCTTTTTTTCTTTTCATTTATTTGCTTTTCATAATCCTTTAACACCCATATATTCTCTCTGGTCATTTGCATTGCAAATATTGTTGCCTTTCTACCACAAATATCACAATTTACTATGCAAATATTCCAAGGATGTCTTAGGTTTCAGTTATATTTTGAGTGCCAATAAATTGCATCTATGTACACAAAACCAAAGCCTAAAGCCTGCATGCATACATCACAATATTCTATCAAAGGGGGTCAATGTGCGATTTTCCGATTTTAATCTAAAAAATAAATAAATAAATAAATAAATTATGGTAATAACATTTTACCCTGCAGAAAAGTAAATGAAATTTGACCCAAGCCACAGTAAATCATCCTCTATCCGGAAGTGGCCAAAAACCAACAGCACTTAAACCATGACCATGTGGAGTGTTTTATTGATCTGTCTTACCACTTCCTCAATAATCCATTTGCATAAAGAGTGTTTCTGGTTTACATAAATCAGAGAGCAACACACAGCATGGATGAGCTCTGCTGGCAAGAACACTGTTGTTCTTAGTAGAGCCAGGACATTAATGAGTATGAGTGGACATTAATGAATATGAGTACATATCTCATGAGATGCTGTAACTGATCTCACAAGGAGCGGCGAGCAATATTAAGCCCATTAAAAAAATAATATAATTAATAATACTAATACATATAATCTTATGTATTCTGGTGAACAGGACAGAATAGGACACATGCTTATTTGATAACTGTTTTATTTCCTATTTAGTTTTATGTATATGCTTTATTTTTTAAGTTTAACTGTGTTTTTTCCCCCAAAGCATTTCTAGATGCCAGTGTTTCCTGTCATAGCTATGCAAAGATTTGATTTAAAAAACAGTATCATAGCTATTAAACTATATCTTGTTATGATTTCAAATCTGTATTTAACCTCAGAACGATCTCAAAGTAAAAATAGCTGCTAAAGTCTTATTTTGTGGTGGCTGCACTTTAAATTATTGAAATTATTATAATCTTAATTCAAGTGATGAAGGATTTTAAAAGTCTGACAGTAATCAGTGTTGAGTACTACTGTAAGGTTAACCCTACCTGATTTAAATGTTTCAGAATGATTAACAGTTGAAAACATTCGCTAGAAATTTAGAAAAGTAATAAAAAATCAGAATCAGTTACATTACTTTAATAAAGTAATTTCAAATAGTTACATGACTACATTTTAAATAGGGTAATTTGTAATGTGTTACCTATGACACTTCCAAAGTAACCTTCCCAGCACTGATAGTTAGTGATATGATTATTTAAAATATTTCATAGGAGATGGTGCTCACTGGTGCCCCCTCTAGATAGTGGCACCCTAGATAACCACTTTGCCTATGCCTATAAAAGGCCCTGGTCATAACTATACCATTCTGCATTCTGCAGCACTCTTCTTTAATGGTCATTCAAAAGTTAACATTTCTGACTAAAAAGTATTTTATACAATACTTCATTACAAATATCGG